CAGAAGATCTGGAGGCTTTCATTTCAGCAACTCAAAACCCTACATAGGAACCTGCATTGGGTGTCAAGCCAGACATGAAGAGTACACATTCCAGTCTGAAACAGAAGACAGTGATAGACACTTCCCAGGAAATGCGTTAAGCTTTATGTTTTCCACTTTTTTTTACTTTTTTTTTTCTTTTTTTTCAAAGTTCTCTGTCAGTAACCAGTCTCTGTCCCAGATAGAACATGAGTACATGAAGGTGGACTGTCATCACTGCGCAAAAACCTCCATATATGCAAGCTGTCAGTTCCTTACTTTAATAAGCTTTAATAATCTCCTCATACAGCTTTCCTTAATTAAATGTATCTAGGAAGGATTTCTTTAAGAAGAAAGCGATGTCTGTGCAAATTAATGTGGAAATATTAGACATAATACATGCATCCATATGCCAGCCTAAGAGGACAATGAGATTTTTTTTTTTTTAAATTATTCCTGCTACGCCTTTACAGTTAAATAGACTCTAACTTTATTTCTAGAAACAAGGAAGGTTTACACTTTGTTGTTTTAAAGGTCTGAATTTAATCTGCAGTTAAGCTTCCATATACTATACCTTTTTTGTTGGTTCTAATAATTGTCTCAGACAACAGTAAAGGGCTTCCATTGGAAACTTCATTTATAGGCTTCTCTGGTGGTTTGTTGGCAGTATTTTCTTTCTTCATGTCCTTCTTTATTTCCTGCAGAAGAAAAGGCAGGTGGAGAGGGAGAAGAAAAAGGAGAAAAGGTTAAAAAAAGGTATTACAGAATATTCTAAATCTCAAGCTCCCAAGATTTCTTAAAACTTCTATGTATACACCCGTGCCTATTCTAATGCTACTTCAAAGACTCTTTGTAAATTGAAATGCCACAAAATGAAAGTCATTTTCAGTAACTCTTCAAACTGATAACTATTTTTTTTCTTTCTAAAAGAGGTCAATTCCTTATTTGTGTGTGAAAATTGTAGGACAGCTTTGCAAATCTCTTACTAAAGATCATGAAAGCTGAAAGGTGAGAGGGAAAAAAAAAAAAAAGACTTCTCAGTTTATCCATCAATTAGCTGTACATTTGACGCACAGGGCAGAACTGGGTACAGTGCTCCTGATGTAAAGGCAGCTAAGTCTGCTTCCCCTCTGTTGAGAAGCCCACAGAAACAACCACCATAGCAGGAAGAAAAATATTAACTAGGAAAATATGACAAATGTTACCATAATTGGCAGAAGCATATAGAGAGCCTGCTGTCAGAGCCGTTGCTAACACTAACACATTTTGCAGCTGACTACCTTTTAAGGTGATCAACTTCTTTGGCAGCACACAAAGCAAATATATATGGTGGAGTTTCATGAAAGTAAAACCACAGAAAACAGCTTCCCAAGACTTCACAGTTAGTACTTGAGAAGGTACACAATAGCTCTCTATCGGCTTCTCAGGCAGATTTGAAAGGCCTAACTGCTTTGTTGTCTCTACCTACTTTGCCAAAGCATCCAAAATATCATAGCCTTTCATATATCTTACCTTGAAACACCACTGAGGTAGACAAGTAGCATTACCTCCACTTTATAGACAGGTAACTAACTGACGCACTAAAGAGGCTAAACTATATGCTTATAACCATGTACCAAAAGATAAGGAAAAAATAAGTTAAGTTTTGGCTCCAAGCTTTGTCCTAGGCCAGAATCGCAGAGCCACTTGGGCTGGGAAGGACCTCAGCATATCTCTACTCCAATCTCTGGCTCAAAGTAGGGCTACCTCTGGGGTCAGACCAGGCTGTGCAAGGCTTTGCCCAGTTGGGTCTTGAAAACCTCCAAGGACAGAGACTGCATAACCTCACGAGCAACCTGCTCCACTGCTTGACTGCCCTTATAGTGACAAAAATTTTCCTTATATCCAGCCTGAAACTTTCTTTTCAAGTCCCATCTTCTCTCTCCCATCCTCCCCCCCCAGGCACCACTGTGAAGGGCCTGGCTGTGTCTTCTGGATAACCTCCTTGTATGTATGGAAGGTCCCTCCAAAGCTGTCTCTTCCCCAGGCTGAACAAGCCCACCTCCCTCAGCATCTCCTCACAGGGCAGATGCTCCAGCTCCCTCAATCACAGAACTTGCTCCAGTTCATCAATGTCTTTCTTTTACTGGTGGACTCAAAATGGGATGCTGTATTCTGGATGTGGACTAATGAGTGCCAGGTAAAGGAGGATTATCGCTTCTCTCAATGTGCAGGCTGTTAATGCAGCCCAGGATGCTGTTGGCTGTGTTTGATGCCAGGGTACATGACTGGCTCATATTCAGCTTGCTGTCCACCAGGACCCACAGGTCCTTTCCAGCAGAGCTGCTCCCAAACCCATCAGGCCCCACCCTGTATGTCTGCCAGCAATTGCTCCTTCCCAGGGACAGGAACTGGCATTTGACCTTGCTGGATTTCATAAGGTTCCTGTCTGGGTCCCTCTGAACAGCAGCCCTGCCTTGGAGCATGTCAACTGCCCCCCTCCAATTTGGCATCATCCGCAAATTTGATGAGATTTTCTACATTGAGGAGGCATCGGG